TATTAATTGTTTATATAACTTACCAAAGCTTAACGGCATCTAAGGCAAGAAATGGATTAAAAAACAAAAAACACCTAAATTCGAAAATAAATACAATATAATGAGTTCTGAAGTTTCAGATAGGTCTGGCTATGAACTGCAACGCAACATTGCAATTTGTATTTTAATATTTTTCGAAATTTAAATGAAATAATGTTAAAGACTGAAGAACACCCAAAGACATCTAGTACTTAGCGCATCTTCCTAGATCAGTGTTATAGCTTATTCACACCACATAATTGATATTTTTATTAATTTCTTAGAAAACGTTTACTAAGCAAAATATAGGTGCTACACTTTCCCTGAAAGTACACATTGTATCCTCATAATGTACTGTGTCCACTTAAGAATATTAAGATTAACTATTTTAAGCAATTTTATTTTAATGCTATTATATATATAGGTCCTGTGAAAATACAGCCCTTTAGATTTCCTGAACAAATTAAAACTGGAAGCTCCATAACTGTGTTATGTCAAATAGAAGCAGGGACACGACCGTTTGAGTTTCAGTGGTTGAAAGATAATACAACAATCAACAAGAAGAAAGATCACTTAAGGATCAACTCTCACAATCAGTTCTCAACGTTAACACTTGATCCTGTGAACATAGAAGATGAGGGACAGTATACTTGTGTTGTAAAGAGCTCTGATAATACTTTTGCTAACTCTTCTGCAAGACTTTCAGTTTCATGTGAGTGTTGGTATTAATATCTCCTAAAGTAGCGATATATTTAATAAAAGCAATTATATACAAACAATATTTTTATTTCCAAGTTGTAGTACCCCCCCCCCCCAAATATTTATGTCTGATTTCGGTTTCTCTTAAAAGCCATGTTTAATTATGAAAGTAAGGTATTAACTGATATTTGAGTAGCATATAGTTAAATGAAATACATTTTTTCGTCGTATACATCTCCTAAAATCTTGGGAAAATTAAAAAACAAAATCCATAATTACATTTATATGAGGTGCTGTATTATTATTACAACGTCATTTAGTTTGCGAATAACTGTACCTTAAAATGTGTTCTTTACCAACTATAAATTTCATATCAAGTAAAAAATTATCATTATGTTAAATGCATTTCAGCATATTAGAATATCCATACCACATCTGTTCTATGAAATTTAAAACGTATATTGAACAAGATCCTATCGAGATGTAGGATTTCTCAAAAGTATTTGCATCTTTCTAAATTAATAGATAAATGGTTAAATGTTTAAATTGTCAGTTAAGACATGAACTATTACCCACTGTCATTCAGTAAATGAGTGGATTTGAAGAAAGTTTATTAAGAAAAGAAAGGAATCTCGTTGTATAGAAATCTAGGAATATTTTACATTGGCACTGTTTTTCGTACAAATAGGACCTGCTTGACTTTATCCTGACTATAAATCATAAACTGATCATAACATTTGGTTCATGAAGTTCTCTTCGTTGATTACAGCTTCTGATATTTCTACAATAATTGTCCTTAGGTTTAGCATTATAATTATTGCATTTCGAAACGTTTAAGAGTAAAGAGACCGTCATGGTGTTGATGGTATTTAGAAACGTCTTGCCTACAATATTACAACATCAACTTTACATATATTCATTAACCTTTGAAATTTGTGTATATTTCTATTTATCAAATTTTGGATTTTGTGCACTAACTTATTTGCAAGTCTTATAGTTCTCTCTCTATAAATAATAATCTATCATTAGTTTATTTTTATAAAGAACTCACTTAACTATCGAACATATAAAGTATTGAAACAGCTATTTATTCTACGTGGTCGTTTCTCGCTGTTAGAAACGTAACATTGTACTGAAATAAATCTATTATCCCACAAATAGCTGTTTCAAAACTTCATAAATCCATAATTACTGTACTTTGATAAAAAAAAAAAAACTTTTCATGACTGACATGGCCGAATCTGACATTTTGTTGGCTTTCTTAAAATGATGTCTAGTAGCAGTATTTCAAAAAGAACTAAATTAACATCATTCTTTAAAGAAAATATATGGCTGTGTTATTTGTAAACACATTTAGAAACTAAGCTGATAAGACTTGTATGTGATCTTAAAGGTGGCTAATAACAAAAGCCGTAAGTAGTAACTGACACTTTGTTGATAAGACTTGTATGTAATCTTAAAGGTGGCTAATAACAAAAGCCGTAAGGAGTAACTGACACTTTGTTGATAAGACTTGTATGTAATCTTAAAGGTGGCTAATAACAAAAGCCGTAAGGAGTAACTGACACTTTGTTGATACGACTTGTATGTAATCTTAAGGGTGGCTAATAACAAAAGCCGTAAGGAGTAACTGACACTTTGTTGATAAGACTTGTATGTAATATTAAAGGTGGCTAATAACAAAAGCCGTAAGTAGTAACTGACACTTTGTTGATAAGACTTGTATGTAATCTTAAGGGTGGCTAATAACAAAAGCCGTAAGGAGTAACTGACACTTTGTATCATATATTTACTTACTTTGACGTGGCATGTTTATCAGCTGTTTAACAAAATAAGATGTTTTTTTTTCTATAACTAAGAAGAGTAAAGATATTGTTTATCTACAGCTCCCCCAAGTTGGGTGAGAAGACCTAAAGATAAGAAAGCAGTAGTTGGTAGTCACGTGATATTTTCCTGTCAAGCAGAAGGGTATCCTGAACCGCGTGTTTCCTGGACAAAAGTTGGTGGTAAGATTATTATGAATTAAAAATGTATTAGTTATTGCAACTATGATTCCTATTGTTTCTTGTTTCCTGTTGATTTTTTCATGGTCTGGTCTTTTAGGGTCTCATTCCGATTTGTTACAATTCGGAGGCATCCAGAAACGTATACTGTCCAATGTTTCGTTTGAAATCCACGATATCCATGTTTCTGATGCTGGCCACTACAAGTGTGAAGTTGAAAATGGTGTTGGCAAAAAAACTATCCGCAATAGCAACGTTGACCGTAATTTGTAAGAGGTGTTTCATAAACCAATTTTCTGTGTTTATTAAATGATCACTTTTACACGTAAGATATGCTAATACTTTTATTTTGTTTATATCTAGCTCAATTGAAAATAGCTAATTTACGAAGAATAATTTATTTATTAAAGATTGCTTCATTAGAAAAGTAGTTGTCGATATAGTGCCTTTATTTAATAAAATAAAGAATGTTACTGAAAAAATGTACTTCTGTTAATAAACTATTAATACATTTTTACAGTAAGAATATAAGAAATATTCATACAATGAAATTTGTAAGGTTTTATCTTCAATCCATTTTTTTCATAAATTCTCAGTATGTGTATTTTTATTACGCATCAATTCGTTGTTTTTAATACCAATAAGCGTAAAATGATATAATTGAAATTCGTTTCTAAGATCACAACATAATGATACTCACTATGAGCCTTTATACAACTTTTTATATTGACCATTACTAACTTGTAAATAATGAATGGAATGGTCTATAACCATAGTATAACTTAATAAGCTTTTTAATTCATAAAATTATAAAAGATTAGTTACAGCAATATTATCTAGCATATATAACTATAATTTAACTTCGATATTGAACTATAATGACTTAACATAAACAGTTCATTAAAATCTTTCACAATAACAGATTATCAAATAAGAGCACAAAGTAACACAAATTACAAAAAAATATATATTAATAACGCTTGGTAATACATGCTGTAACGAAGTTTGCAATTATGTTTTTAATATTAATATTAAATAGTAATAATAACGAATATTACATTTCTTCTCGTGTTGCAAAAGCATGCATTTGCAGGTTCTTGTATCCCAAGTATATAATTTTCGAAGTTTTTTATATCCAGAGTATATGATTATAAACTTTTTAGATGTAATACTCATTTCCCTAGTTTTGAATCACTCATTGTCCAGACCTTTATTAAAGATATACAAATACATCTTACCCTATTGCTAACCTTAGATTCTCAGTACCATGTGGTGAATAAGAAGAAAAAAAGTTTATGCATCTTAGTTTTTGTTAAGCACAAAGCTACACATTGGGCTGTCTATACTGTATCAATATTTTAGCGCTATAAGTCTTCAAGGTGACCGCTGAGGCATCGGAAGGCCACAACTTCCCCATTATTTATCATTTTGCTACTCATAACAGTAAGTTGAGAAATATTTACATTTTTATCATCATTAACCTGATCAACTGAAAATCAAACACCTTAATATATATATGCAATTACCGCTGTTTTTAGAGAAACACCTGACCCAAAACGTCTACAAATTTGCAAAATTCAGTGGTAATAAAGTGTTGTAAATAAAGATAATACCTGTTTTGATTTTTCGAATTCCGTGTAAACTCTTAAGACCTCCCCGAACAATTTTTTTATCTATAAAAGCATTGACCTCGCTACCAGTAATCAAGCTTTCTATTCCAGTGTTCAAATGCCAAGACTCTCTTACTCTAACAAATGATAATAATTCTCTTACACACACACACCGTGAAACTGTTCTATAAGTATCACAGGTGTAACTTATCCTGGCAGAACATCTAATTATTTCTATAATTCTGTAATATTACGTAGTTCATTAATTATATTGCATAAACTATTTTTTAAAAATCTGATGCTTAACGAGAGGCCCACACATAATTATTGAAAATTCTTATAAGGAATTTACTGGTTGTATGTTTCTTTAATTCGCACTCTCGTTCAGGCATGTGTGCAGCATTGGTGTCTTGCAATTAATAGTATATTCTCTGTCACTTAAAGAATTGCCTATGTTCCTGATGAAATGTGACTTTTCCATACATTTTAATGTGATGATTTATTTTGTAAGCTGATAATGCTTTGCACGTAAAACAATTCCTACATGGTGCTTTATAACAACATTTTAATGCTTCTTGAAAATAATAGCAATTTTGGTAGGGATTAACACAGTCCACTGATAGTCGTTTGTGGCGCTTCAGTCGGGTCTTGCTTTGTGTATTTTGCAGCACAGACGCCATCATTTCCAAGCCTTATGTTGGAAAGCCGCATTTTGGAGTCGATATCTTTGCTATTAACTAACTGTATAATGCTTATCCATCGAGGTTATAATGCAAAAACATATTAAGTAACCTGCGACTCCAACGTTAGATATTATACCAGAAATATCCAATGATCATTCGAATGTGAGAAGATTTCGGCAGCCCGTTATATATTCTCGTGTGTAACTTGTAAGTTCTTTATAGATGGCTAATGGCAGAAGTCTTCGTGTTTCTGCCATGACTATTCTAGTGCACTTGATGGTGAACATCGCCGTTCTTCTAGTTTGGGTTGATGACGTAAATGGAGGTAAGCCGGATGGTTTTGGTTGAATTTTAAAATGTTTAATGTAGAATTAAATATCCTAAACATAAGCCTTTTGGACATGATCATGAGGTCTAAGATACATAATGTTGCAGTGCCTTAGAAACATAAGGTCCATCTCAAGCAAAGATAAAGTTGCTCTGAATAATCGGAGAAGATATTTACATTTACTCAAATCTGACACGACTTCTTGATTTAAGATCTAGTTTATGACGATTTGAGAAATTCATATCTCGTTCGTCACTTTTAACAGTGTCATAACAAACTTTAGTTATTACCAAATGAAGGAGGTGTGACAGAACTGCTTTGGACTACTAACTGCAACATAATTTGTTTAGTTTAGTTTTTAAGTTTCAGGTTGAAAAATCATATTTTAAAGAAGAAGATCGAACTTAGTTAATAATGAAAACTAAAACACTTTGGTTGCTTTAAAAGCGCCAAACTAACTAAATAAATAAAAAGAATATGATATTTTATGAAAACTCTGTAATCGTTGTAATTAATGATATATAAGCATTTCATTTTTACTCTTAGCAGAATGAAGGTCGAAATAACCTCATATTATTTAGCTACATAGTTTACATTTGTTTAAAACGAAAGGCACATATTGATTTTAGAACAGGTAATAATATTTAAAATATTCCACACCGAAACATATAATTATCAAAAAACCTATCTTAATGATGCAGTTATTTGTTTTTAATGTGTTTTTCCTCTTTTGTTTCAGAATTATTTGAAATAGTTCCTTTTTCCTTTCCTGAAAATGTGAGAGTTGGTGGAAGCTCTACAATTTTATGTACTGTGAGCGAAGGAAAATCGGGGATTAAGTTCCAGTGGTTTTATGGAGAAAAAGAAATTGGAGCTAAAATGTATCAAGTGAAAATAGTAAATTCGGAGACATTTTCAGCGTTGGAAATAAACCCTGTTGAAATTGAAAACCAGGGAAATTATACTTGTGTTGCTCGTACTGCTAAAAGTGTCAGCAGATACACGGCAATCTTAACCTTGAAAGGTAAGAATAACAGCACTTTGCTAGATATCCCAGTAGTTTAGTGTTTATGTTAATATTTTTCTCAGTACTGAAAGAGTTAACCCAATTAATAGTTACTGAAATGGATAATTCACTGCAATTACAACTGTTCGAAAGAACTCTAATACCTCTAAAAGGAAGGTAGACACATCTCTCGTTGCTAAAATTATGTTGTTTTACATTAGAAGTTAAGGTACATTTGTGACAAAGAAATCTTTTTGTTCCAATACTTTTTTGCCGCTACAAACAAAGTATAAATTCAACGTCTTACAAGAACATGAACGGTTCATTTCAGGTCAAGCTATTACTTCAAGCTGTGCTTCTAAAATGTCTATCTGACCAACAACATCATAAACGTACAAACCAAAAAATTTGCAAACAAAGTAATCACCCGTATACAATGTAATGTACTGAAATAATCATTTTAAATTATTTCTATAAATGTAGATCCTATAATGACTAGGAAAAAGGCACAGCGCATGTTATCACGAGAGACCAAGTTTTTTTATTAAACATTAGTTTGGACAAAAATCTGCTTAATAATCGTATGATAATAAATTATTTTGTTTTTCGAGGCGTCGTATTCAACAGTTTAGCTTGTATTACATGATAATACTAGAAATAAACGACCTTATAACACCAAATTGTTGTTTTTATTTAATTAAACACTCAACGTTTCGTTTTACAGCTTCTTCTGGAGCTTTTTCAAGCTGTGTACTATCACTTACGGTTTGTGTTTTAGTGGAACGCTCCTGAA